TACTCACACGTCGTCCGCAGCTAGACGGGAGCGCGGAGCTGACAACGCCGGCCGGCCTCGGTTATTACCGGTTCGCTTCGGTAGGGTCGGTTGCTACGTCATCTGTCACCGGAAAACGTGCTGAAATATCGAGGACGCAGTAAAGAACAAAATGCTCTTAGTTTGTATCGATTCCAGTTTAATTATGCCAAAGAACTTGATTTGTATATTTTGTTTAATACTAGGTTATAGAGAAATTCAGGATATATCTATTTTATCTATCTACTGTATATAGGGTTATCCACCTCGTTCAAAATGCACAGAGTGTCTCAAATTAATAAAAAATATCAAAGTTGTATTTTTTAAATGAAACGGCCTGGTATATTTTTAGATTTTTCATTCCTACGATTAAAAATGTTAATTTTTTAATTCTCCATCTTATGAAAAAGTAATATACAAGTTTGTCGTAGAATTTTGAACATCCTATATGATTTACGATTATCATATTTATAGTAAAGTAAGTACAAACTCTCTAAAGTAAATACCTAATATAGTTTTGATTTCAGGACAGTTCTTGTATTTTTAATAATTCTTTTAAGAAAGGCTAAAAAATATATTTTTTTTTATTTATCTCTTAATATCTCTGAAACTATCAAAACATATTTACTCATATCTTAGGATTATGTAAAGAGATATGAAAAGAAATCAAAAATGTAATAATATACATGGCGCTCCATTTAAAAAAAAATCATCCCGATCCCCTCACACTTTTTTAAACAACCCTGTAGAAGTTAAAATATTTTTCCGAAATGCATCCTAGTGCAACAGGGAGGGGACTCTTCGAACCCCATCTTTTTTTGGCCCCTAGCTCACATAGGGCCAGAGTTACAATGTTCGTGACGCTTGGTGACCTTGACGTGACGCTAGCTTGCCTTGTATGTCGCGGCCTTGAATTTATTACTCCCATCGCGCGTAAAGAAGCTTCACTTCAAAAAAGTTTTGCGTCTTAAAGGGTTAAAAAATATACACCTTAAATTAATTACCATCTTGGTTTAATAATATATTTTTATACAAGAGAGATAAAATGGTATTTTATATCACGAGCGATGAAATCGCGAGTGAATTAATTTCGGGAGACGATAATGCAATTTTATCGTCGTGTATAAAACAATTTTTTTCCATAGCCAGTTACATTTTAAAAAATATTCAGAGAATTCAAGGAATTTATTACGAGTGGAAAAAATATTGTGCTGGGTTGGCGTTGGTTTCTATGTTATTTGACAAATAAATAAAGCTGCCTCTTTAGTTGTCAGTTTTGAGTCAATATTTTTTAATTCTCTTTCGTGTCGATTGCTGATTGAATTGGAGCCAGAAATGGCTCAAAACGAAATAAATAAATTACCAACAGATATTCAGGCTGAGGCGACAAACGCCATATCCAAACTACTTCCATTTAAATCCCGAATAACTTATGAAAAGGAATACAAAAATTTTCAAAAATGGAAGCAATTAAAAACGTGCGAGAAGAAGTAAAGTTTTTAACCTATCTTTCTTCTTTACGTGCCGTCTCTTTCGTGGAGGTTGGCGATCACATTGGCAAAATCGTCAGGATTCTCGGCTTTCCTTATAAGTTCTTCAAAAGTTAGGTGAGTCCAGTTTCTGATGTTTCTCAACCAAGATAGTTTCTTCCTGCCGAGACCTCTCTTTCCTTCAATCTTACCCTTAACTATCAATTGTAAGACGTGGTATTTTTCATTTGTCAATATATGCCCTAAGTATGATGTTTTTCTTATTTTTATTATATTGAGCAATTCTCTCTCTCTCTCTGCCTATTCTGTTGTAGACTTCGGTATTTGAGATATGGGCTGTCCAACCGATGGTGTTTTAACCATGCTGTTTAACTATGCTGTTTTAACCTATCCTCACTGTTAAAGTATCATTTATTTTTTTGCGTTTTTACGTACGTTTTTTTTTGTTTTTACGTTTTTATGTACGTACGTTTATTATACAGAGCGATCTGCTAGGAAATACATACGTGCTCTATAGTAAAGTGTGATGTCCAAAAACAATTAAAACAATAGTTAATATGTGTTATTGTGTTGTCCAGTTTTAACAAATTTTAACTCTGTAGGAATCTACGTTCAAGAGGCTTGAAAAAGACATATACTGTCGAAACGTCGTCATAAAATAAAATAATGAACAAAATCTAGAAACATCTTTGTAATCCCAACGACCTAAAGCCAAGAGTAAAAACAAAAAAAAAATATAAGTATCATTAAATCTACCCCTGCGGTTAAAGTACTATTTTTGATAGATATAAAACAATTTTAACAGTTGCTATGGAAGAAAAATATTTATTATACGCGAATTTCGGTAAATAAACGGCATCAAAGTTAGAAAGCAATGAATATATTAGCTGTCTCACTCTCTCTGTGCTCTGCCTCGGAATTTTATACGACTATAGGTCGGATTTCCTTAATAACACCGAGTGGGATGAACATTCGGTTGCCGTGATTTACGACCGCCGTAGTACTGTAGCAGTTCCTGTTCCTTTCAGCAGGATGTGTATTTAAATATATATAAATTTTACTTTAGAATGCGAACAGGCATCGGGCCAGCCCAGTTCCATTAAAGCTCCGCCACGCTTAAACAGGCGAGAAAGGAAACGGTATATATGTCTAAAGTCTTATTCTATTATTACAGAGTTGCCGTAAGAAAAGGTCGGCTTTCTTTAGTTCAATAATAGCATTATTCCAATTAAGTTCTATTTTAGTTATATATGTTACAATAAAAGTTGGAAATTCAGTGATGGTTAACATTCACTAGGAAATGCTAAAAATTACCCTAGTATTACTAATATATATGCTAATTTTCCTAGTAATTTCTAACATTCACTATATAGTGAAAGTAACATTTACTAAAGGTCACCAGTAAAAGTTATTCTATTGTACAGAACGAGTGTGGAGAGGAAGAATGTTGGTGGAAGTTAGAACAAATAAAACTTAAGAATATTGGATCACCTCAATATTCACGCTGATCCACATATCTTAAAATTACAATTTATTTCTTTAAATTACAGAAAATAACGAAATAACCTTTTAAATATTAAAAGCGATAGTAAACGTTTTAAAGCGTACAAAAGAATTAAAACATTCATAAACATAAGATTACTTATTGGTACAATTTTTTTTTAATAAAGTTCTTCATCGTGCAAAATATAAAGGTATGCCCGAATTTTCTTCAACCGGGAGTTATTCGTTTTTTTTTCAAACCCGCTACTTTAAGCATATCAAAACGTTCAATAAGTTCATAGTCACTAGGTTCTTTAACATTTTTTTCTCTTGCACGCTTAACTTTTGCTATGACTTCATTATATTGCAAAAATAAAAAACAAGCACAGTTACATTTTTGCGAGTGCCTGGTTTACCTTAATTTTTGACAGAAAATTTTTTCCGTAAGGAAAATACCGTACAGCAGTTTTTACAATGATAACAAAACAATTATACATAATCAGAAAAAACAAAGCGAATTTACGCCAGATAACGTTGCCAACGTTTAGTCCAAATTAATGTTATCCTTATCTTGCCTATTATTCAACTTATCCTTATTTATCCAAATATTTTACAACATGTGCCAACCGCGCTGCCATCGTTCAGGGAATGTTAACATTCACTAGTAAAAGTTGGATCAAAAATATCTGTTGCACTTTTACTGGCGTAGTCTTAGCAAATCAGTGAATGTGAGATTTTACTAGTAGTTCTTAACAATCACTGATTTCCAACTTTTACTGTAACATATATTCCAAGGAGGATATTATATTTCTTTAAATGTGGTATTCGGTATTGGAACTAAAAGAATTTCGGATTTCCATTGTCTTTATTTATTTTGCTTACACAACGTTTCGGTCAGAAGTATCACTGACCGTTATTATTATACCAAGTATCACGTTTGTACATTTTTTCAGTCTATTTCTATACCAGGTTCGTCTCTAAAATAGCTCACCCCTTTTTTATTTCTTCAGATTGCAGAACGAGATTTGGTATGTTAGTATATGACATAATTTAGGATTGATTGACGTATTCAATTGTTTTCGGTAACTTCCTGTTTCAAAGGAAATTACTACAACTTTTGATTTTTAAATGGAATCTTCGGTATTTTATTACTTCTTTCGATAGGAAATGACACTGTGAATAGAATGACATATCATAATATGTCAACTTTTGATATTTTCGAATATTGTTTATTTAAAATAGCAACATGCAGTTCATAACGACAATTTGACTCGAAATACCAAGTGTGTGGTACCAAATTATTCGTAAAACAATGATTTTTTCAAATATGCTAATGAGCCACCCTCGTTCTATTTGAAAAAATTGGGATATGATTAAAAAAACGATTTAGGCATCTTTTAACCGGCCAGGACAAGGCACGAAAAACCGAATGAAAAACATTAGATGAATAAATCTATTATTCCAAAGCTCCTTGATTAAAAATCAATAATTTTAATACAGCCATGGCACTCTAGATTGATTTAAAAAAAAAACAATTTTGTTTTATGCGAAAATGTCAAAAGTTGACATATGATGTCATTCTATTCAGAGGGTCATTTTCTATCCAATAAAGTAAAAAAATACCAAGAGTGCCATTTAAAAATCAAAAGTTGTAGTAATTTCCGTTGAAACAGGAAGTAAACGAAAATAATTGAATGCGTCAATCAATCCTAATTTGTGTCATAATATATTAACATACCAAACTTCGTTTTTGTATTGGAAAAAATAAAAAAAAGTTATAGGGGTTTGATTTGGCCAAGCCACTTTTGACCCAAGCCACTTTTGAGAAGCACCCGGTATATCATAATTATTTAAAGCCTACAGATTTAAACAAATAAAATATTGACCAACATTTTAGGGAATACGAAAATAATTACTTCGTATTGGAGTCATATATTAGTTCTTGTATAATTTCTTGTAAACTTTGAATTACTGTAATGGTTTAGAAAAACGTTTTTTTTTTTGTTTCAGCTTTACCAGAAGCAGGTCCCAAAATAACTGGTGGAAAACCAAGATATCAAGCAGGCGATACAGTCAGTGTGAATTGCACTTCGGGCAGATCAAAGCCTGCAGCCCAATTAAACTGGATGATAAACGGTGAACCCGCCGAACCGAAGTACCTACGCGGTCCCGAAATATTTGTCACGGGAAGAGAAGGTCTGGAAACAACAATTTTAGGTGAGAAAGAAAATCAATTATTCATTTAATTAATATAATCTATTATTATAAACCACGCCACTACCAGTGAAAATAATTCCTTTTTGCGGTTACAGTTAGTTAGGTTTTGGCGGTCTATTTGTAGATAAAATTAAATCAAGTAAAACAAATATTATTTCGATAATTAGATCAAAATATGTATATTATGTTATTAGGTATTTAATAAACGCCAGTTTAACAATGTATATAAAACCGCAACGTAACCCTCCCAACACCCTAATTATTCTCCAATTTTCCAGGTCTGGAGTTCGTAGCTAGGCACAAGCATTTCAAAAGGGGCAACATGAAGCTGAAGTGTTTGGCCACTATCGCTACCGTTTATTTAGTGAGCAACGAGGAAAGCATGGAGGGCGAGAGGCCCCAGAAGGGTCTGGTGCTCGAAAGCAGGGGCACAGTGTCGCCTCCCGGTGGGTCTAGAGCGGATCGCGTGCACACCTCAAGTGAGTTAGTTTTAGTTTAAATTTGGTATTAAGTTTATGCTGGCTTTGTAAATTGTAATGTTAAGCTTGTGAAAATTTGTTTTTATTATGTTCTTTCTATTATACCGCTTATCAGGGTTGGAAAAAATCATGATTTTTTTTAAAAAATCAAAAAAATCAGATTTATTTCATTTAAATCACATTTTTTTGATTTTAATTCAAAACAATATTTAAATCGGATTTCCAAATGACTAGGACTTATTTCCAATTAAAGTCCTATCCTAAATGGCTAAATCTTTATAACTCTGTCCGTTATCGATAACATTAATAATTCTAGGGTGCGTTTGTCATTTTTCCACATCGGTCACCAATATATTTCGCAAAAAAATCGCTCGCTTCAGATCAAAAGGATTTCTTTTTTCAAACGTCTCAAAAGTATTAATTTTTGTCATTTTAACACCTAGGTATAAAAGTAAAGCACTGTTACGCCTAAGCACAAAAGTACAAAAATATATTATTAAACTGATATTAAGTGTCAAATTCAACGAGTGTACAAATTGTTGCTCGATTACTGTTTATATTATTTGCAATGTTTGAAATTGATTAAAAATGAATTGTAATGTTTTAAAAAAATAGTATGTATGTTCTATTAGGAGTAAATTGTACTTTTTGTGCTTCTTTGTAACGTCGGAATAGCTTTACGATGGTCCTTCAAAGGTACAGCATCATCAAAAAAGTATGTTGGTAAGAATTTGGAAAAATATAACCATTTCAAAAAAAAATATAAAACAACATATTTCCTGACAACGATTATTATTATAGATTCTCAGGAATGAAGATATAGTCTCTATATCAGAAGAATCTAGTTCTGCACTAGACTTCGAATAATATGTATTCGAACAGCGAATTTTTGTCACTTATACATAAATTTTAAAATAAATCCCTGCGTTTAGCGGTCTAATGGATTCACACGAAATTACTTCAAAAATCGGTCCAACATTTAAATTGATGAATAGATATTTTTATATAGTTTTATAACATTTGTAACCGTAAATTTTCGATTTATTATCTTTATTTTTTTTATATCTTTTATAGAAATATTTTTATAGTTTTCTAGGACACATTTTTATAACTTTTATAGTTATTTTTTGATTTATAATAAAGTTTTAATATTTTTTTTTATTTAAATCAGTGATTAAAATTAAAAAATCACGATTTAAATCATGCCAACCCTGCCGCTTATAAAATTAATGCTGGTTTAAGGTAAATCAAGGGAAAAATAGTTCTAACGTTGATTGAAAGAATTGAGAAGATACGCATCTTAATGTGCGAATTCGTGACAAAACTGTTTTGATTTCCCTTTACGTCTCAAGTGTTATATGGTGAAGCCACCACTCTTTCTGAGGCCAACGCGTAAAACACTTATTTTCTCTAATTCGGCCGATGAAGGCATGTCGAAGACGGTGTGGAAGTGAAAGCGACAGTGTTGCCATATTAAAATGTGTAATATCTGTAATACGTTTGACGAAAATATCTTTGGATGAAAAATCCGTGTTTATGTATTGAAAATTTATTCTTGTTAAACATAGAGAAAAATAAAAATTCTTTTATAGGTACTGAATATTTCGTATGATCGGAAAAAGTAGTTTAGTTGGCTTGGAAATGATGACTATCGCATTTACCATAAAATTTTACATATGAAATATTAACGGCGATCTAACAGTCGTTCTTTGTTTAATCATATAATATTATATTACATTGTTCAATGATTGATGAAAGTGATAAGACACAACAATGATGAAAAGAAAATCTGTATTATACTGTACCCAAAATCCCTAAATCCACGGATTAATCCGTAGTTCTGGCAACAGTGTCTCCGGCAACCTCTCACTCTGTGGACTGAAAACAGAACTACGGTACAGTATTCTTTATCCGCTGCGCTGTAAACAACTATCAGCGCGCAGCGGCGCAGAGCTAAACTAAATCTCAGACACCCCGACATCTTTTGTGCCACGAAATTGCCCATAAGGTTGCGCATCTTCTTATTTCTTCAACCAACGGTTCTAATATAACACAGTATTATTTAGTTTCAGGAGTACTCAGATTAATTTAGCTTGGCTTTAATATAACATATGTTCATAAAAGTCTAGTGGAAGCATTTATTTGTTCGAAACTAAAAAAAATGTGACCCAAAGAAAAATGAAAAATATGATTAAAGCTCTTCTGCAATATATTTGAAAACATTCCTAGACACGTCATTAATTTTAATGGTTCTTCTATTCGCACTAACAATCATGACCTCAACTGATTGAATTTCAATAATTCAAGCAAAAGTTTAATGATCGAGTATGTAGAGGAGAAATTAACTTAAAAAGTTCTTTGAAATTGTAGCGAACGATGGTGGTTCTCATCGATATGGTGTTAGAGATTTATGATTAGGTATAATAATAATTTAGAGGGTTGCTCACGCTATTCGGCACTGAATATTGTAGCTAAATTATTTTGATTTTTGGAATTTGTGAGGGATGGTTTGGTTTGGTTGTACAGAGTGTAATTTGGTAGTAATTTGGTACAGAGGTTGTATTTTTTAATTGGAACACCTTGTATATTATTACATTTTTAGTTTCTACAATTAAAATAACGATAAATTTGATTATGGTTTACCGCACTTTAATCTTACCGTTTTTGAAATATTTATGATTTTGTGAAAATGCAGTAACAATTTGAATGCTTCATTTCTCTAGACCTATTTAAGTTTTAAAAATCAAATTTTGTAGTGAAGATTTTCTATTAACTAAATTTTGTGATGCAATAATAAAAATAGTACTACCTTATACAGAGTGACTATAAATTTATTTTTAATAAATGCTAGCTTTAAAAGGCAGTAACTTTTCGATCTCTATAATTTAAAAGGAACACCCTGTATATTTTACGAGATCTTTTAAAAATATTTTTATCTGCCTTCGTAGAAAATACGTTTTCTTTTATATCTATCTATATCCTATCCAACTCATTTATCAATACCGGGTGCGTCTCAAAAGTGGCTCACCTCACTAACTTTTTTTATTTTTCAGATAAATAAACGAAATTTTGTATGTTAGTATACGACATAAATTGGGATTGATTGACGTATTCAATTCTTTTCGGTCACTTCCTGTTTCACCGGAAATGACTACAATTTTTGATTTTTAAATGGCACCTTCGATATTTTTCTACATTATTCAATAGAAAATGGCACTCTGAATAGAATGACATATCATATGTCAGCTATTGACATTTTCGCTTAAAACAAAATTGAATTTTAAATTTCAATCTAGAGTGCCATGGCTGTATTAAAAACACTAATTTTTAATCAAGGAGCCTTCGAAAGAAGATTTAATCGTTTAATGTTTTAATGTCTTGTTCTGGTCTGTTTATAGATGTCCAAATCCTATTTTTAATCATATCTCAGTTTTTTCAAATGAAACAAAGGTGGCTCATTAGCATATTTGGAAGTAGCATTTTTTTATGAATTTTGTTCCACACACTTGGTATTTCGAGTCAAATTGTCGTTATGAATCGCAGAAAATATCAAAAGTTGACATAATATGGTAGGTCATTATTTCCAGAATGTCATTTTATATCGAATAAAGTAACAAAATACCGAGGGTGCCATTTAAAAATGACCGAAAAAAATTGAATACGTCAATCAATCCTAATTTATGTCATACACTAGTATAGTAAAATTCGATTTTTTATCTGAAAAAATAAAAAAGGGGTGACTCACTTTTGAGATGCACCCGGTATATCCATGGAATATTGAACCATTTTAGAAGCAAAAGTTTTCCTTAATATGTCAATAATAAAGAAAAATTCCTCTAGCAAAGACAATCCGGGCCTATATTGTATATTTTAGAAAGTAAACAAGATTTTGCAACATTCAACCCGGAATCTACCAACCTGATTTAAGCCCAAGGCTATTACACGTGACTAACCGAACTTTATGTCGCAAATAAAAGGGAGCTCGGGACAAAAACTGGCGTCGCCTTATTTCGCCCAGTAAATACGCAAACAACGGAAACGCAATAAAAAAGCACGGACGTCGCAGACCCGCTGCTCGTTTTTCTCGTCCGTTCTCTGCCATATTACTGTGCAAAACTTATTTACCGCCGTGCCGGTTCGCTAGGTGGCGTCGTGTTCCGAATGTTCCGAACTGCAGCCGAAACATTTCGGGATCCTATACACGCGGCTACATTTTTTATGAGATAGATGGCGCAATGCAGAAAATTTATTTATGGAACCGGTCTGACCGGCCCGCCAGTGTGCCGATAAAACATATCCTTTTGTAAATTTTTGATGAGCCCGTTTTGACTTGCAAAATTGACTTAGCAAAGTGGATGTGACTGCCCGAACGGTACAGAGATTCTTTATTTTGTGATTATTTATTAAAGTATTTGGAAAATGTTCTTCGGTGTATTGGTTTAGAATTTATACTTTATTAGATTGGTTGGATACTTTATGTTCAGTTACTTATAGTTTTGTAAAAAATGTCTATACCAATGTGGCGGATTCATCTCTCCAAAAAATCCTCTATGGGTATTTCGCCACTGCAAGAAAATCTACAAAATGAAATAGTTATTTTTTGTAAACACTGCTGGCGTTAATCCAACGGAAACGACTTGTCAGCAGTTACAGTTATACAAATTTTCCTAATGAACAAAAAAATGCTTAATGTTTCAGAAAGTTTATCTCTTCCCGTCGTCGTCGGAAGCAAAAAAATACAAAGAATATTTAAAGAAAAAAACTATTTAAAATATTTAAATTCAACTATTCGAGAACACTTTAGTTTTTTAAAACAGATACGTCTACTAAAACCGTTGACGTTCTGTTAAAATGATATTATATATCAAGTTAAACTTCAAAATTAACAATGATTACTATCTGATAACAATTACTTAATAAGGTAAAACCAAAAAGCCCCAAACTTTCTGTACGATTATTTTAAATTTTTACGTAGGTATGTTATGTTTATTTATGTTATG